TTATTCACAATGATTTAGGACTTTTTAAAAATCCTTACCTGCAACCTAGGAATGTGCCCTGACTAGGGACCGAACCTCAAACCTTTTGGCTATAGGACAACTTTTCAACCAACTGACCCACAGGACCAGGGCTGATTTACTTTTATGATGACCAAAAATAATCCTGGCAGCCCCCTTTGTCCATGAAAACATACGTTAAAGCCAAACAATGTAAAGGGTGGCTTTGCTCTCAGAACCCTGTGATCATAGTCACAAAAAAATTCCTCCCCTTTTGTCATCTTTAACAATATATTTTCAGTATCCCATATATATTCTGTTTTTCCTTCAAATATCATCCGTGACTACCCTAAAACCTGATGAGTGGAAATATGTCTTTTCCCAGTATGCCTGCTGAACTCACTCCTTGTCCCAGTCCTATTACTTTATGAGACGTCCCCACCCCCTGTCATTTTCATTGTGTCAGAAGTGTCACACTTTTGTGTTTCTGTTTCCCATTGTTTTCATAAAGGCTAAGGGTGAGGTGCAATAAAACAGTTGTTCTGAAACTTTTTCAAAAGCAACCAACTATTCTTTGGAAAGTAAGCATTCTAAGAGGTAGAGCGGCTGACATGGAAGTTGAGTGGGGGTGCCTACACTCCCCACTCCCAAAAAGACCACAATCCCCATTTTTCCTGGAGGCACATCCACAAGTCTGAGGCAAGGTTTGAAAATCACCATTCTTAAATCATTGTTGTAGATTATTCAAATACTTACACAGACACTTCTCTGCTTGACTTGGCCCCAAGGGAGGTGGTGGCTGCCAGCTGCCAACAGTGCCACTATGTCATAGCCCACGGTAGCTGTCCCTTACCAGGCACATAAATTTGGATGTGGCAAATAAAAGATGGCAAAGGGGCCCTGGCTGATGTAACTCAGTGGATTGAGCTCTGGCGTGTGACCTGAAAGGTCACCAGTTTGATTCCCAGTCTGGATACATGCTTGGGTTGTGGGCCAGGTCCCCGGTTATGGACATGCAAAAGGCAACTGATCCATATATCTCTCACACATTGCTGTATCTCTCCCTCTCTTTCTCCCTCATTTTTCCTCTCTCTGAAAGTAAATAAATCTTTTTTTTTTAAGTGCCCTGGCTGGTGTAGCTCAGTGGATTGAGCACGAGCCTGTGAAGCAAAGGGTTGCCAGTTCAATTCCCAGTCAGAGCATATGCCTGGGTTGCAGGCCAGCTCCCCAGTAGGGGACACATGAGAGGCAACTACACACTGATGTTTCTCTCCCACTCTTTCTCCTTCCCTTCCCCTCTCTCTAAAAATAAATAAATAAAATACTTTTTTAAAAAGATGGCAAAGGGGTGTCACCAGAAAATGCACAAAAGGTACTCACAAGTGAAAGCACAAAGTGGAGGACCGTATGTAAAGGAGTTTTCTGTTTCACTGACTTCTGGTCAAAATGGGGTAGGTAAACATGCTTCACCTCCTTGCACAACCACAGAAAGAATTACAACTAGACCTCAACACAAATAACACCCAGAACCATCAGAAAACCGAACTGTATGGAGGTCTGAGAACCAAAGATTTGAAGTCTGACAACCAAGGATTTATAGCAGCCACATTCATCCAGACAGGTGGATAGGGAGGAGACGCGGAGATGAGCGGTTAGGCACAGAGACACCCCACCTGTGGTGCAATGTGGCGCAGAAAGGTGTGGTGGCAAAACAAGCTGTCACACATTCACATGTGGTGGATAAAAATCGGGAGGGATACCTTAGGAGCCAGCTGTCCCAGCCCCAGACCAGACCACAAAGCCCAGGCTTCCGGCTCCAAGAAGATAAATCCCCATAACTTCTGTCTGTAAAAACCAGTGGGGGTTGGGGCAGTGGAAGAAACATGGATTTTTAGGAGACCCTGCTTCAAGGGCCTGCTCAGACTTAAAACATACACAGGCCTGCCCACCCCGGGATTCAGCACCAGGGCAATAGTTGGAAGGGTGTCAGGAGCACGGGGTGAGTACAGGGCAAACCTCCAGAAGCCAGGCAGCAGTGCTGTCGCCTCTGGAAGCCAACCCCCACACAGGGCCACAGAGAAGCAGTGCAGCGGGTTGCCCCGCCCTGGCAATTACTTCAGGTTCCATCCCACACAATTTACAGGTGCCTTTTCTCCAATAGGCCATGCTACTAATTCACAGAATTAGCAGCTCTACCTAATTCACAGAAACAAACACAGTGAGGTTGCAAGATTGAGGAGACAAAGAAACAGGGCCCAAATGAAAGAACAGAACAAAATCCAAAAAAAGAACTAAACAAAATGGAGATAACCAACCTATCAGATGCAGAGTTCAAAACACTGGTGATCAGGATGCTCAAAAAACTCACTGAGTATGGCAACAAAATAAAAAAGACCCAGGAAGAAGTGATGGTTACACTAAGTGAAATAAAGAAAAGTGTACAGAGAACCAACAGTGGAGGGGATGAAGCTGGGATTCAAACCAATAATATGGAACATAAGGAAGAAATAAACATTCAACCAGAATAGTGAGAAAAGAATTCAAAAAACAAGGATAGTCTAAGGCACCTCTGAGCCATCTCCAAACATACCAACATCCAAATCATTGGAATGCCAGAAGGAGAAGAGGAAGAGCAAGAAATTGGAAAAAAAACTTATTTAAAAAAACAATGAAAGAAAACTTCCCTAATTTGGTGAAGAAACTAGACATACCAGTCCAGGAAACACAGTCTCAAAGAAGTTGGATTCAAAGAGGACCACACCAACACACGTCATAATTAAAATGCCAAAGGTAAAAGATAACGAGAGAATGGTAAAAGCAGCAAGAGAAAAACAGAGTGACCTATGAAGGAGTGCCCATAAGACTGCCAGCTGATTTCTCAAAAGAAACCTTATGGGCAAGAAGGGACTGGCAAGAAGTATTCAAAATATTGAAAAGCAAGGACCTACAACCAAGATTTCTCTATCCAGCAAAGATATCATGTAGAATGGAAGGGCAGATGAAGTGCTTCCCAGACAAGGTAAAGCTAAAGGAGTTCATCATCACCATGCCATTATTACATGAAATGTTAAAGGGACTTACTTAAGAAAAAGAAGATCAAAACTATGAACATTAAAATGGCAACAAATTTGCAACTATCAACAACTGAATCTAAAAAAAAAAGCAAACAAACAGAATTGAAACAGAATCATAGATATGGAGATCATTTGGAGGGTTATCAGCTGAGAGGGGGAAGGGAGAGAACAGGGGAAAAGATACAAGGATTAAGAAGCATAATTGGTAGGTACAAAATAGACAAGGGAATGTTAAGAACAGCATAGGAAATGGAGAAGCCAAAGATCTTGTATGCATGGCCCATGGACGTGAACTAAGAGAGGGATTACTGGAGGGAATGGGGGTACTGGGCAGAGGAGGGCAAAGTTGGTGCTAAACATCTAAAGCAGCCAAGAATTATTAGCTTTTAAAATAGCTGCTTCACCCTGGCTGGTGTCACTCAGTGGATTGAGTGCCGACCTGCAAACCAAAGAGTTGCCAGTTCGATTCCCAGTCAGGGCACATGTCTGGGTTGCAGGCCAGGTTCCCAGTCGGGGGCATGTAAGAGGCAACCACACATTGATGTTTCTCTTCTCTCTTTCTCCCTCCCTTCCCCTCTCTAAAAATAAATACATAAAATCTTTTTTAAAAAAAAGAAAAAGGTATAAAGCTATACAAGAAACAGTGTGAAAAAGGAAAGAGTACAATGAAATTGCAAGGTAAGTTTTTCTTCAAAGTAAATATATATATATATATAATAAAAATAATAAAATATATGTCATCAAAAAAATCTAAGGGTCCAAATTTCCCTGCCAACCCCTCTTCCCACCAAACTCCCTCACCAGGGAGGACAGTACTGTCAGCTCATCTATTTCTGGGCCAAATCCTCCATCTCAGCACACCTGGAGCTGTACTTGGTTCCCATGCCGATCCTGCTGCTTTTTCTCTCCTCTCTGAGCTTCTCAATACCCCTACTGACAGCCAGGTCTCTGGGCCAAGTCCAGTCACTCCCATCCTCATCACCTCCTCACCCGTAGCCTGGCCTCTGCACTCCCCAGGGGCAGTCAGCAGAAGATCAAACCAAATAAAATGGAAACCCATGGCCACTCTTCCCCCAGCTGTCTCCCTGCCTCCTCTCAAACCAGCTCCGGGAATCCTACAGGCACTGAGCTGTGTGAGTCACACCCTCTGATCGGATCCTGTGAGGGAGATCCCACAGAAAGGAAACAGGGACTCCGGGAGGTGTGGGAAAGTCCGGTTGCTGGTGGCAGGAAAGGGGAGAGGGGACAAGGGGTCTTATTCTGTACATCACTTAGTCCCAAAGTGAGCTCAACCAAGAACTGGACTAGGGCTGATTTCAATCCACTCTGATCCAGATTTTCCCCAGAACTTGTCCAGAACACAATTAGTTTCCAGGAAAGAAGAATAACAGGAAGTGTTTGCTTCATTTTAGGTGAAGAAAATAGAGACTGGTTACACTTTTCTCTCTTTGGAGCAACTTCAAACATGGGGTTAGCTAAAATGCCAGCCATGGGTAGGCTAGTGGAAACTAAACTTCCATCTAAATCCTGCTTCAGGTTGCCTGCATTTGAGGCTCTAGTTCCTCTCAGAGACAGTCCCAGGCTTCTCTGTAGATCCAGGCATGCCAACCAGTTGCCGTACTGTCCTGCTTCCTCTCCGGGCCTCTTCCCGCTCTCCAAGGGTCAGCGCAAAGCCCCTGGAGCCAGAGTTCATCTCTCTTCCCTCCTACTCTCAACCCCTTCTCCACTGGGACCCATTCAGGTCCCCCGGTCACAAAGAAACAAACTTTAGCTGAAAGACTGAGAAAAAATGTTTTAATAAATACAAAAATCTTCAATAATGACTCTGCTCAGCTCAGGGGCAGCAGGAGGGAAGTGGGGGGACCCTTGGTGCTGAGTGAGGATAAATTAAAAATCCCAACAAGCCAGTGACATTATGTACAAAAGGAAAGGGGGTGGGCTCCCAAGGCAGAAGCCAGAGGGTGACACGGCAGGAATTGAAGTGGACATGGCCTTGGTCTGCCCTGGTTGCCCCTCCCCCTGTGGAGTTGTGGTTCCCAGAGGTAGTGGGGGAGGGAGAAGAGGCAGAAAAGAGGGGCCAAAGGCACTGAGTTTCCTGCAAGAAAACGTAGGGTCCTCAGCATTCCTTCCCCCATCCTCTTGGTCGAGCTGCCTTCCAGCTGCTCGCTAGTAGTCCTCGGCTTCTTTCTCCAGCTCTGGAACTGTCCTGTTCTCTGCAGCTGCTGGAGACAGAGGGGAGTGAACACTGGAGGAGGAGGGAGGAAGCGGGAGGTGACGCGGAGAACCCAGCCGAGTATCTCTCTCTGTTCTGGTCCCAGAAAGTTCAGTGTTTTCTAAGCAAGTCAGTATACACCAGCGGTATAACCTTAATCTAGTAGCTTAATTCCTCTGGTTTCAGAAATCTCACTTGTAAAGAAGAGACTACCAATAACGAGTCCACAAGGTTACTGTGAGGGCAGAAAAGAATGGCAGTTAGGAGGCAGAGGGCACTGTTCCTGGCACACGGCAGGCGCTCCCTCCCCCTCAGCACCCCACAGTCAGCCCACGGCTGCTGCCCCCAGAGCCCCTCACTTACACTGTCGGGGTGTGCAGTGGGAGCAGCATCGACTCTCCTTGCCCGGGCCGCAGGACAATGGCAGCGAACAGTTATCCCGCTCACAGTGGGGCACCCCTCCCTGGTGCAGGACAGAGCAGATCCTAAGGGGCCCCAGAAGCATGGGGGGCACGGTAGCCTTCAGCCTCTTCAGGGAAGCCTGACCTCCCTGGGAAGGTCCCTCCACTCCAGGTTAGGCCTCCAGTGCCCACCTCTCACAAGCCCCCAACTCCCAGCTTACCCCACATTTGCAGGTGATGCAGTTCATCTCCCCAAAGGGGTACACTAAGGGGTGCCAGCTCTGGCTCTCTGGAAACCACCGCCCTGAAAAACGGCAGCCCCGGGGCCCATCAGCCTGCATGGGGTCCCCCAATTGAGGGTAGACCACCGCTGTTGGAAGGGAGACAGGGAAGGAAGAAGGAAGAAGAGGTGAGCAGATAGGAGCTCTGCAAGGGCCACCTAAATTTTATTTGTCTTTGAATCTCCAGCACGTAGAAGTTTCTGGTACTTAGTAGGTGATAAATTTGGACAGATGGATGGGTGGATGGGCAGATGGACAGATGGACAGATGGGGCAGGAACTGGAATCCGTCATAGCCCATTAATACATGCACATCTTTCCACTTTTTTTTTGGAAGCCCAGCTCTAGACTAGGCACAGAGTAGTACCCAGTAAAGGCTGCATTGTCTGAGAGGTCCCTTCCATCCACCCTCACTGTGTGTCCCCTAACCCGGGACAAGGCAGTGATGCATCTATTTGCCCAAGAGGCCTCAGTGCCCCCCCTCACCTGGACACTGTTTGCAGCAGTCAGTGGGGTTGGCGCGGACAGGGTGGGCACAGGCCAGTCGGGGACACTGCACCTTCTCACAGTGCACTTCTCCAGTGTCCCCCTGTAGGGATCCATTGTGTGAGGGGGTCAGGAGGGGGCGCACAGAAGCCTCCTGCTCCCTCCCTCTCCTTCTGCATATCTCAAATAATATATCCAGGGCCTCTTACTCAGAGGCCCTGAGATGGTGCTTTATATGCCTGAACTAAATGCTCATTAGAGCCCCGCAAGGTAGGTGCTATCACGTCTGCTCATAGGAAAGGAAAGTGTGGCTCAGGAAGGTACAGGAAGGGCCTGGGCTTACATGGAGCTAGTCAGCTGGCAGAGCCAAAATTCACACCAGGTCAGCCCTTGCCCTTCTCCTACAGGAAACCAACTCCCAAAGGACTTTTCTCATATTATTTTGATCCTTGAGCCCTCCTCACCTAAGCTGGGCTTTCCTCTCCTGGCAGCCCCCTCCCCATCTCTGCAGACCCAGCTGGGTTATTGTACTAGAGAAGATTAAGCAGCCATACCTTGCAGGTGCAGACAGCACACTTCATTAAGCCAAAAGGGGGCACCACAGGATGCCACCGGGTACCTGATGCCCGCCAGCTCCGGTCACCATCAAAATAGCAGCCTGGTAGGGGACAGTGCCCAGCTCCCATCAGTACTGAGCTCACTGGCTGAATCCAAAACCAAAACTTGAGTCTCAGGCCAACTCCACACCCTCTAACCCCAGAGCCTATTCCTGGGCCAGTAACTCTAACGAAGCCTACTAGGAGTCTCTGGAACCTGTGTCCCTCAACCTCCAACTCCACCCATATATCCCTCACCCTCTTGTCCCCCTCCTGGTCTCACTCAACAGCTCGTCTTTGTTCTCCCCTCCCCCCACCATCTCATATACTGCCAGCTCACCCTCTCCAGGGTCCCTGCTTCTTGGCAACCCTGGCAGGTCTCTGACATCTTCTTTCCCTGTGGAACCAAGGAAACAGTGAAGGCAGAAGGCAATCCCCCTTCCCTCCCTAGAAGCCTCATCCCCCATGGGAGGACCCTTCATGACCCTGCCCCCCTGCACGGCACTCACCGGGGCACACTGGGCAGCACTGGCCCGGCATCCGCACCGAGCTCAGGCAACCGAGTGTCGGGCACACCACAGGGTCACAAATCACAGTACCTTTCTGCAGGGACATGCGGGAGGTTGACTGGAACCCTTGCCCCAGAATCCAGGCCCCAGTGAGCCCTTCTGAGCCTCCTACCTGGCAGGTGCAGACTGAGCAGAGCCGGTCATAGTTAGGTGCCCAGCGAGACCCATGGGGGCGCTGCTGCCCCTCAAAGAAGCAGGTGTTGGGTTCTGGAGCTTTCCAGGGGCCACTGGGTTTGACAGATGCTGGAGTGTCAGGGCTGAACACAGTAGGCAATGGGGGCAGTGCAGGTACCACTGAATGAGAAGGCCCGGGCTTCCGAGCCTCCTGGAACCCAGCCACAGCCAGGCGCAGACCACCTGCCTCACATTGGTTGGCGATGTGCACCTAGGAGGAGAGGTGGGCTGCTGGTGGAGATGCCTGGGTTTCCCCTTGCATCTCCACAAGCAGGAGCCAGCCCACCAGGCAGAGACATGTCATCCCCTGAGTGCCCCTGTGCCCCCCAGGAGGATGCTATGAGCCACAGCAATCATTCTGGCTGCCAGGGACAGGGTTGTGTGCTGCCAGCCTTATGTATGTACCTTGGATGGCTTCATCCTCCCAAGCAGCAAAGAAGTGTGACACACTTCCACCCCAAGGGCTTGGAGACAGCAAGTGAAACAGAGACACACAGCCTAGCTAACCCATCCCCACAGGCCCACGCTGCCTGTCTACCTGCCCTTGAAGCTCCCCTTGGGGGTTCCCCTTGGTGGCGATCAGCAGGGAAGCAGTGCCCTGTGCCAGATGCCGCAGCAGCTCAGGCTCCAGGTCCTTCACCACGCCCTGAGTCTGTGAGTAGACAGGATAAGAGATGGAAACAAGGCACTCTGGGGCTGAGCCTTCCGTTCCCAATTTGCCAATGAGGACACTGAGACCCGGAGAGGTTAAATGAAGTCTCCAGGGTAGCAGCGCCCATTAGCAGTGGTAGGGAGCTCAGACGCCCAGTGCCTCTGACAGCAAGTCCATGGCAACCCACTCCACGTCAGGGAGGTTGGCCATCCTATCTACTCCTCTGGAGGCCTAGGATATTACATACCATCCAAGGGGTCCCACCAGAGAAGAACGCAGGAAAGAGAATGAGTAACAATAAAAGACTGGGGCAGAGTCACAGCCAGGGCTATCTGACTCCTGAGCACATGCCAGCTCTGCCACACCAGGCAGCCTGCTCTCTGCACAAATACACAGACCCACACAGCCATTTATGCTAAAAAGAAGACATTTTTCTAGCTGCCTCTCACCACCAGGTCCTTACCTCTGGACCATAGAATCCCTTCAGCAGCCGCCGGGGCCCTGGCATTCCAGGGGGACCGAGGAGATAGGCAGTAACAGTGCCCTGTTCTGAGCCCCCAAGCCCAGCCAGCAGCACTTCATAATGCAGGTGACAGTGGGTATCCAGGGAGAGCCAGGCATGCCCTGCTGCACGACTCCGCACAGGGGGCAACACCAGGGCGCCTGCCAGGGGCACGGGCAGTGCTGGATCCAGACAGAGAGGTGACAGATGAGAAAGTGGCCTAGAGCAGCCGCTCAATCCCAGCATTGCCCATGACCCCCAGCATAGGCTCCAGGAGCTGGCAGACATTGTCCAGAGCTGGAGGAGCAGCATGGTTTAGGCCGCTGCACCATGGCAACAGGGAGGGTCTCCTGGTAGGGCTACCCTTTACATCCCACCTATACATCTCCAGATGCAAACCTAGAGCTCAGGCAAAGAAAGACGCCCCAGGCTCTGGCCCTCTGGCACCATCCCTCACATGCTTGAGTCCCTGATTAGAGGACAGCAAAAGGCAGGCACACTCCTGGGGCACTCACTGTTACAGCGGGCTCTGTGCCCATTGTAAGGCAGGGCAGCCACATGCCCTCGCAACTCTCCATCGGGGAAGTCCTTGGTGGCCACGTTCAGGAACAGCTCGTTCTGCAGCAGCATATGAGCCCCTCGGGCACCCAGCCTCAGGCACACACCTACGGCCTAGGGGGCAGTGCGAGGTGAGCCCTAGCTACAGCCTGCCAAATCCCACATGAATCCCTCCTCAGTTTTCACACAAGCCCAAGATTCTGAAGCCTTTCCATATTTTGGCTCCCACTACGTCCACACACCAGTAACAAGTGAACAAGAACTTTGCAGTCCTGGCTGGTATGGTTCAGTGGATTAAATGCCAGCCTGTGAACCAAAAGGTCACAGGCACATACCCGGTCAGGGCACATACCTGGCCAGATCCCCAGTTGGGGGCACGTCCAATGTTTCTCTCTTTCTTCCCCCCTTTAAATCAAATCTTTAGAAAAAGACCCTTGCAGGCCCAGGTTCAAGTCCTTCCTCCACCACTTTCTACCTATGTACCAACGCTGAGGAGTTAGCCTCTCTGATCCTTCACTTCATCAACTCTAAAATGAGTACTATGAGGGCCAAAAATAATGTAAGTAAGGCAACCAGTATAGAAGATGGCACACAGAAAGGCTCAGCAAGTGGCAGCCACTGCTGTGACAATGGTATGATCTTCTGCACTGGTCTCCCTATCTAACTTCTCTCAATTGACATGAGCTTGCTGAGGACAGGGGCTGTATCTGATTCCTTTGTACTCTATCTAGGCGCTGGCCTGAGTCTCACTAAAAATGTGTCCAGTGAATCAATGCATCAATGAGAGAGCCTGGAAGTGAGTGCATGATGCTGTACATCTCTGCTCACCCAACCCAGCTTCCCACAACCCCTGCATTGACAGCCAGTACATGGGTCCTGTGGTCCAGCTCTGTCCACAGCACTCACCATGTGTTCTCCTGGCTGGAGTCCAGCCATGTGGCACAGGACGGTGCGCTGGTCTCTCCGCTGAGGCTTGGTCTCCAGTGTCATGGCCACCACCTCACTGCCTGTACTTACCACTTGCACCTGGTGGGCAGGGTTGAAAAGGGCAAACTGGAGTGACAGAGAAAGCCTGGAACCTGAACCACCACAGGCTAAAGTTCCACCTCACCCTACTGCTCTCCCACCTCCTACAGCCCCTGACTCTTACCTGGTACATTAGGGAGCCGTTTCCTAGCAGTGTAAGTCTGGCTGAGCCAGCCGCACCCGTCTGTACTGGATTCAGGGCATCCGCCCCGCAAAGGACACTTTGCAGGACTGCAGAGGGCAAGACAAGTGGAGGCAGGCTGGCCCCATGGCCATTCATACCCCCAGCCCCCAGGATTCCCCCCATACCCACCCTGGCTATGCTCTGGCACTTATCTGTGCCTCTCAGTTTTGTGTGCCCAGGATGCCAGGCTCTACCCCGCCTCACCATCACAGCTCTGCCTGGTAGCAATGTGTCCACTGATACGCGGCCCTGGCCCACCTGCCCTCTCCAGGACTATCTGCAGTTCCCCTAGCACCAGCCAGTCCATCTCCTGGGCTGTCAGGTTGGGCAGCACCTCAGCAAAACCTGTTTCCTGGGGACAGAGCAGGGTATGGTAGGCGCAGCAAAGAGTCCAGAGCAGGTGGCAGCAAAAGCCAGCCCTTAACTCACCTGGGCTGAGGCATTGGCCTGGAGCTCTCGTAATAGCTGTCCCTGGTGGAGAATCTGGAGCCGCAAGGGAACCTGGGCTGGTCCTGTAATGATGGTACATGTGGACGCCTCTGAGAGCTAGGGGCCTCCTCACATACCCTCCCCATATCCCACTTACTCCCACTCCTGGGTTCCAGCAGGCCCCGGAAGAGCAGCAAAAAATGCAAGGAATCCTCTGTGTCACTGAGTGTGAGTAGGGTGATGCCCCCTATGCCCTGCTGTGGGTTCCCTTCCAGGGTCAGGATGGCACTGAAGGTCTCTGGGGGAGAAAGGACAATGAGAGCCCATCGGAAAGTCCCCTGCTTACCCCACTGCACTCCTGGGGAGAGAGAAGACGGAACTGTACTCCCAACAGCTGTTTGCCCCTTTCACCTGCAGCCAGGGCCCGGTGCCGGATGAGAGGCCCCCAGACCTCCCCCGAAGGATGAGCGGGTGTTACAAGTCCCACATGGAGCTGTTCTGCCCGAAGGAGCCGCAGAGACGCCCGAGGCACTGCTCGCCACACCCCACAGACCTGGAGCAGAGAGACAAGACAACCCTACTCAGGCAACTTACAGGACAGGCCCGCTAAGAGGCCCCACTCTGGTGAAGAAGGAATATGGGAAGGAGCCCCCAGACCCTCCTAGGACGCTTAATAAGGAATCCTGGATCCAGATGCTAGGGTCCGAGTCCTGGCTCCACTGCTTACTAGCTGTGTGACCTTGAGCAAATCACAGTCTGTTACTGGGCCTCAATTCCCTCATCTGTAAAATGGGCATATAATGTCAGTGTCTTCCTCCTACTGGACTGCGGTGAGGACTAAAGCAGGCAATGCAGACAGAGCACACTCTCGGCACAGTACCCAAACTGCATAAACACTCATAAATGACGTCATCTCACCAGGCCATCTTGGTTAGTGGCCGCAGGGTGTTCAAACAGGACACCGCCGGTGGAGTTTGAGAAGCGGATTCGGATTGGGCGACGGTCGAGCCTGGGAATGAAGGTGAGGGTGAGCGCCCGACTGGGAGCCTGGGCCAGAAGCTGCCCCCCCAGGCTCTCCCTAATCTTCCGCCCCAGCGCCCAGCCCAACCCTCCTCCCTCCTTCCCCTTTCTCACCGCTGGTAGGAGATGGAGAAGCGCAGGCTAGAGCGCAGCAATATCACTCGGGCCCGCGCCACGGCCTGCGACCTCGGCCCTGTCAGCAGCGCCACAAAGTCTGCGAGGGGAGGAAGATGTTCCTAGTATGGTCACCCGCTGTGGCGGCCAGGCCAAAACCACGACCCCAGTCCCAGCCCGGTCCCTGCCTACCCGTGTAGCTATCTCCCCTCGCCCGGCCTTCAGCTCCCTGCTCCCGGCGGTCGCTGTAGCTGCGGTGCTCTGGGTCACGCGGGTAATCGGAGGCCAGGCCCGTGGGCTGCGTCTCGGGAACGCTGCGCTCTGTGTCAGTGGTGGGGGACAACGGTTTCAGCTGGGCACTGGGAGGGCCGATTGGCCTCTCCATCCGCTGCATCTGCTCCGTCTGCCCCATACGCGGGGCTCCGGATCAAGTACCACTGTCCGGCGCCCTCCCCTCAACGCGCAGCAGGCCTTACCCTCGGGGCAGGTCCGGCAGCAGTGTCCCGGCAGCTGGCGCGGCTCTCCGCAGGATACGGGTGGGCACTCGGGTTTAATGCTCTTGCAGCGGATCTTGCCCGGGCCCTTCGAGCGGGAACCCCACTGAGGCTGCTCTCGGAAAAGACGGGGAAACTGAGTGCAAGCCGCCAATCCATAAGACCCAACGAGCCGGAGTGTTGGGAAGGGTGGGAGAGCCGGAGACCAAGGCAAGGTGGTCTCACCAAGGCAGACCGCTCTGCTACTTACAAGCTGCGAGACCCCAGACAAGTTACTGAGGCTCTCTGGGCCTTGGGGACCCTATCTGAAAAACGGGGATAGTAACAGCATCTATCTAGGAGGGTTGCACCTCCTAGGAATTACTAAGTGAGAGAGAGCTGAAATGGGGCTGGCAAGGAGCGCGACACATAGTGAGTGATCAGTAATAGTCAATACTTGAGACTCGAAGGGGGAGCTTCCTCCCCGAGTCCTCAGCCAAGAAAATACCGTAAGCATCGGCAGGCTCGCGTCTCTCTCCTCGGCAGCTCGAGTCGGGTCCGACGGCCCAGGACCCCAGCGCTCCTCCGCCCGCCCGGGCCGCGGTCACTCACCGTCTCGCAGGCGCACAGCATGCAGGGCATCACCCCGAAGGGCTCCCCCAGGTCTGGGTGCCACGTCTCGTCCAAGGCATAGATCTTCTTGCCGAAGGCGCAGCCTGCGGGGACGGACTTGGCTGGCAGCTGCTGTCCCGCTCCGCTCCTGCCGTGTGCCCGCCCTGGGCGCCGCCGGCGGGCCCTGGGTTCCTGGGCACCGCGCCCCCCGCGACCCCCGCGACCCCCGTGCACCCCTAGGCCGCCCGCGGCGCCAAACCACCTGCGCCGGCGCCCGTCCGGGAGGGCAGGGACTTGCCCGGAGCCGACTTTCCTCTGGCACCTCCCCGGGGCGCCCACCTACCTGTCGCTCCCGGAACGGGCAGCGGCTCCTCCTCGGGACGAATGGGCAGCGCGGGGGGCTCGGGGCTGGCGCCGCGGGCCGGCCGGGGGCCGAGCAGCAGCAGCAGCCCGAGGAGCAGCAGCGGGGCCGGCGGGGACGGGAGGCTCCGCATGACGCGAACCGGACAGCTGGGGAGGCGGGAGGGAGGAGGGAGCCGGGGAAGGAGGAGGGAGGAGGAGGCGGGCCGGGCCGGGGGCGGTGCGGCGCGAGGGGGCCGGGGCCAGGGCCCGGGCAGCGCGAGGGGCTGGTCGGACGGCCGCGGAGTAGGCGTGGGGCCGGCGGGAGGAGCGGCCGGGAGGAGCGCGGGCGGCGGGCGCTGCCCTGGGCCGTACGAGGCTCTAGTGCCCTGGGCGCCGGCTCTGGCCGGCTTTATGCCCCGCGCTCCGCACCCCGGCCGGGGGCCTCCTCCTCAGCAAACGGGGAGGCGGCGGTGGCGGCTCGGCGAGGGGCCGGGCTGAGCCCCGGGGGTCCGGCCCAGCAGCCGCGGCCCGGATCGCGAGTGGGGGAGGGGAGGGAGGGGCCGGGACCGGGCAGGGGAGGAGGGAGGGGCTGGAGTGGAAGGGGGAGCGGAGGGGGTAGGGGCAGAGGAAGGACCCGGGGGCGCGAAGAGGGGAGGAGAGGCAGGTCCGGGGCACCCACCCCAGCGGCCCCCACGTCGCTGTGGCCGGACGAGGCAGAAGGTGCGTGTCCGGCTCCGAATGAGAGCCCCAGGCCAGGGAGTGGCAAAGGCTAGGCCTGAGGCCTGGGCCAGCCACCAACCTGGCTAGGATTCGGTTCCAGCGGGAAGGATGAAGATTTTTCTTTGGGGATGACACCGTGGAGCGGGGGCCACTCAACTGATCTGCCCCTGACTCTGAGCTCAGAGCGGCTCTCAGACCCCACACCCGCCACTTCCACTGCCTCCCTGCCTCCCCTCCACGCATCCCTACCTCTCCTCTGAGGTCTATCCTCATTCTCCTGTTCACCAGGACAGGGACTTAGCCAGACAGAGACTGTGTCCTTTCCGGCTGACGACAGTGTTTCCCTCCCAACTGTGTAACCTGTCCTCAAGCCCAACCAGCCATCATCGTCCCCGCCTGATACGCTTTCTTCCTTCACCCGGCTACCCTCACTGCTCCACAGAACCTCAGCCTCCTCTCTCCCGGGTTCCCCAGTCATGACTGCCACCCTGTCCCCTCCCACCCCAAACAGATTCCAACTACCCTAGCACCTTCTTTACTAATCTTGGGAGGCATCTCATCTGGCTAAAATGGAGAATTCCAGGATCTAGGCCATACTCCTCAGCGGACAGCCCCGTCCTGGGGAAGAGGAGGAGAGAGCCTGATGAGACTTGGCAGGGGGGGAGTGGGAACAATGTCAAGCCAGGAGGCCCTGAGGACAGAGGTTGTGGGGAGCCTGGGATTGAGGAAAAAGCAAAGGAACTAGAGCCAGGGCCAAAGGAAGAGGGGACCAGGCTGGCAGTGCGTATTCTGGGGGGAGTAAGGGGAAGGTTCAGCAGCTGTCTTTCCTAAGAAGCGTCACATGAGCCTTCCTCCTGTCACATGTGGTACAGTAGGAGATGGAAGAGGGAGGAAGACTGGCAAGCAAAAGGGACACTGGCAGAGAGATAAGTGGGCTTAGCTATCTGAGCCCAACACACACCCTCACAGCACAATCCTTTCACAGTGTCCGAACCTTTCCCGGTAACAGTGACCCCTGACAGAGTTATTCTCTAATACAAGCAATACCCATGTTCCCACTCAGAAAGGGGTTACAAGGCATGACTCCCTAGGCTTTATAGGAGAGAAAAGCAAGAAAGCAAGAGTCTTATTGGATTTCAGCAGCAGGTGCGGTATCCAGGGAGAAGAAATTTAGCCAGCCAGGAGCTGGAAACAAAAATGTCCTGCTAGATACCTCCTAGAAGAAAAAAAAAAAGCATTCCTGTCCCATCTCCTCTCCAGCCAGGTTTAAGGTTGCCCATTTCCTAGGGGAAAAAAAGATCATCCAGGTGGTGTGTGCAGGTGGAGGAGCTGGACTACACTAGTAGACCAACGTCCAGGCAGGGACTCCAGGTCCAGTGAGGGTGGGAAGAGAAGGCGTCACTTCCGGGGGCCCTCACCAGTGTCTGGTGGCTCCCTGCTCTCTGATTGGGCAGAAGTGGCCCCAGGCAGGCGTGTGTCCCCACTGCCGTGGAGGGGCTGTGCCCCAACGCCACATGCTTTCCTACCCATCTGCTCCCCAGAGTGCTGCCTGCTCTGCACCTGGGTCCTGGAGCCCTTCTCCGCCCGGTGAGTGGCAAGCAGGGTTTGGAGTTAAATGGGGGTAGGAAGGACAGGAAAGAGGAATTGGACTCTCAGCTGGGGGAGGGGTAAGCAAACTGGAACCTACAGACACTGACCTTTGTCAGGAAGAGTGTGGCCTTCCCAGAATGGGAGGAGTAGGGCAGAGCAGGGGTAGGGGGTGGGGTGCTGGGTTCTGAGGGACTGATCACAGATTTAGTGGAACACAGCACAGTCCTGGTTGGCACCAAGGGAAGGGAACGTGGGCTCAGGGAGGAAATGAGAAAGGAGGTACATTAGGACTTAGGGAACACAGCAGCGAAATGGACACAGCTCCAATCCACATTCTTTCCCAGTCATTCCTAGTTAGCTTGAGGTTCTGAACCCAGGAGCTGGGAAGCTGGGTCAGGAGAGCCAGGGCACAAGGAAGGGGTAATGGGAGGAGGGCTCATGCATGTTGACAGACCTACAGGAAATCCCAATATTGAATCAGGTGCAGGCCTCTTTGTACAACTTGTGAAAGGAGGAAGCCATGTGGGGGGTCCTGTGAAGGAACCGGAAGGGTCAGAAGAGGGGGCAGGGAGGAAGGTGTGGGCTATGACACAGACGTGGTGGGCAGCCAAGGCGAGGTACACCATGTACGGTGGGCATCATCTCACTCAGTAGGTATTCATTCCTGGCCAATTTGCCTAAGAAAGGAAGTCTGGAGAATGTTAGCCTATGTCTTTTGCTGGGAAAATCCAGTATTTCAGAACTTGGAGTGCAAAGAAAAACTGCAAGAGACTTTATGTGTAAATAGGGAAAGAACGAGAGATTAATTTCTCTTGAACCATCTTCTCTTAATCTTTTTTTCCTAAAGATTCTATTTACTTATTTTTAGAGAGAGGAGAAGGGAAGGAGAAAGAGGGAAAGAAACCTCAATGTGCTAGAGATACACCAATCAGTTGCCTCCCACACGCCCCCAACTGGCGACCTGGCCCACAACCGAGGCATGTGCCCCAACTGGGAATCAAACCGGTGACCTTTCGGTTTGCAGGCTGGCACTCAATCCACTGAGCCACACCAGCCAGGGCACTTCTCTTAATCTTGTAATCACCGACCTCTAGTAGTCCAATTTGGGTTTGTTTGCTTTCTTTCCTAATTCCACTCCTCAGCCTCACTGCCCCAGCTTCCCCCCCAATATATTGCACATGTTTGCTAGTTCCCTATCCTGGCCCTACACCCATTCCCCACTCTCTTCTCCAGGGTTGTGCCACAGCACTTCATTCTCTAACCCCATTCCAGATTTTCTCCATGCAAACACCAAGGCGGCTCAGAATTTGAGGCCCATTGAGATGTGCATATGTGCACATATACTCCCCACCCCCACCCCAACGCCAACCCCCTGCTGCTCTGGGCAGGGGGCAGGGCACCAAACTCCTATCAGATCCACTGAGACACTACAAAAAGTATAGACCATACGCTCTCATCACGAGATGTGGGTGCACTCAGAACTTTGGCAGTTCTAGGCTGGTCAGCATCGCAAGCCTTCCCTGAATCTGTAACCCTAGCCAGACAGTCTCTTCCTTAAAACTTGGGTAAGTGTTCATTATTCCTGTCACTTGCAGGACAAGGTCCAGCCCCTCTTTCTTGGCCCACCTGTGCCGTGCCCCACCCCACTCTGCCCAGAAGTGCAAAAGCCCAAGCCGCCTCCATGGCCTCAGGAAGGATTCAGGGGAGAGGCCCCATACAGGGAGCCGCTCCAACAAGACAGCCTGGCCAGAATGGAGCTGACTGGTAAGAACACACTTAAGGGGCTGAGGGCCAAATCTAAACATGGTAGAGGCGGGGAGAGAAAGGAGTTGTGCTGCAGTGGGCCGGGGGAACCAAATTTCCCAGGAATAAGGCATCAGAGTGCTAGGTTTCAGGTCTGGATCCTAAATGGAAATTCTTAGACCACCAACAAACAATGACCTCTTCCTTATCCACCCTTTTCAACCTTACCTCTCCTCATCTAAGAACTGGTCCTCGTGGTCATGCTTCTCCTAACTGCAAGACTAGCTCAGTCCAGCCCAGCTCCTCCTGCCTGTGACCCACGACTCCTAAATAAACTGCTACGTGACTCCCATGTCCTTCACGGCAGACTGGTGAGAATCCCCAAGTGTTGCTCCCTAGATCCATTTAACTGGCAAGATACCCTCACTTCCATCACTTCCTCTTGCTCCCTGATCCAATCATTATTCTTGCAATAGTCTTCAGGAAGACCACCACCTTCCGATCACCATTCCTGACAAGGATTATGACTTGCAATCAAGCTCTCCTTTATTTATTTATTTTTTTAAAGATTTTAGTTATTTATTTTTAGAGAGAAGGGAAGGGAGGGAGAAAGAGGAGAGGAACATCAGGGTGTGGTTCCCTCTCACGTGTCTTCCTCTGGGAACCTGGCCTGCAAATCAAGCTCTCCTTTAAAAGCTCGTGGAAGCCCCTCCTGGTCACTGGGTCACCATAACCCACCCCCATTTCAGCTCCCTTCTCTCCCCCTCCCCACCAATCTTTTTCAACAGAGTCAGTGCCCAAACATTAACCCTTTGTCCACACCTGTGCTGCTGCCTGCTGTGGACTTCAGCTTGGGAGAATGGAAAACCCAGACGGTAAGAAAGCCATCCCTTCCCTTGGTTTTTCTAAGTCCTGTCTTCATCAGTTTTCTACTGTTTCCATTGGATTCTTCAAAATTCCTGAGCTCACTGAAAATATCTCACCTTCGGCTTGGCCACTCTAACCCAATCTACATTCTACTATGATAATGTCCTTTGGACAAGGTGATGGCTGGCAGTTCCAGTATGGTAAATAGATTCAAAGCTGAATACCATGAAAAGCTGGAGAGAATTCTCTCATGGGCCGTGCCTTTGACTTATTCCCATTCAAGATTCTTAAATTGGCGTGAAGAAGTGAGATCGATCTGTCATCCACAGATGACACAAAGCTGGGAACCAGAGCAAAAACAACAAAAGACACCATCAAGATTCAAAGCCCTGACAGGCAAGGTTCAAACATGGTAAAATTTGACAGAGATATGTAAAATATCCCACACATGTAAAGTAATTGGGTAAAGTCCTATTCCAGCTTTCAGGTCACAATGCCCCTGCTTCCCTCATATAAACTTTTAGCTCTAGAATTGCCTCTCTTTCTTAAGATTTTATTTATTTATTTTTAGAGAAAGGGGAAGGGAGGGAGAAAGAGAGGGAGAGAAACATCAGTGTGCTGTTGCCTCTCATGCACCCCCTACTGGGGACCTGGCCCACAACCCGGGCATGTGCCCTGACTGGGAATCAAACCTGAGACCCTTCAGTCCGCAGGCTGGCACTCAATCCACTGAGCCACACCAGCCAGGGCAGAGCAACTATTTTAAAAGCTAGCAAGTCTAAGCTGCTTTAGATGTTGAGCACCAACAATGTGAAAACATTCCTGTAAAATTCTAAGTGGAGTACACTTAAAAATACTGGCCTGAGTATTAGACAGCCTCCTCTAGACACAGGCTAATGTATTCAGAGGGATCCATTAAACTACCGTGTGTCCAGGAGGAAGCAACTCAAACAGTAAGAGGTTAGAAAACATAGGAGGAATATTTTTTTTAAAAAGAAGCCTGTCTGATTAGCTTGTAGGAAGTGGCAATCTTGTGAGATAGAATGAAGTGCTTCAGTCCGACGCTCAGAAAAACTACTGAGAGGGAGCACTCCTCGGTAGGTCAGCTCTTCTGCCCTCCAGATCCCGAGAGCCCCATTCTTCCCTCAGATCTGGGGGGGCTGGGCCAGGGGAGGGCACTTCCCAGACAGCCCTGCAGTTCCGGCTCTGCCGTGTATCAGCAAACCTTCTCTTCATCTTCATGCTCTTCATGACGGTCTCATCTCTACACTGAGTTCAAAAAGAACCACATGACCCTAAGATTTTATAGCAGAGATTTGTAACACTAGAACCAAGAGGTAAAAGCTATAAAAGGGCAAATTTCAATATAATGGAAGAAGTAGAAGAAAAAGAAAAAGAAGAGCTTTTCTGACTGAAATTAAGTGTAAGACCAGGCTGGTTTACCGGACACTGGAGTTATTCAGGCAGAGGCTGATGACCAATTGTCGGGAGACTGTGAAAGAATTCCTGTGCTGGGTGGGACCTTGGTCCTGTCCAGTTCTCAGCTTCTATGATTCATTCTGCTGGCTACTCCTACAGGCTCCCCACCCGCTATTAGCATGCCCTTTGAAGCAGTGCACTTCTCTCTCCCATCTCTCTCCTAGGAACAGACCAAGGCACAGGACGTTCTGGGAGCGACAGCCCTTCTGCTGGAGGGAGTGATGGCAGCACGGGGACAACTGGGTCCCACCTGCCTCTCGTCCCTACTGGGACAGCTTTCTGGACGGGTCCGCCTCCTCCTTGGGGCCCTGCAGGGCCTCCTGGGAACCCAGGTAAATCCCCAGTCAAGGGAACTATAGCCATTGTCCTTCTTTTCTGACTCAGTCTCCTTAGAAGACCTGAGGGAAGAGGAATCTAGGAATCTTGAGGTAAAAGAGATGACCTACTAAGAATGCTCCCTCCCAGCCCAGCCATAAAGCCTGGGACGTAGACAAGGGAGGCATGGCATCTGGCCCAGGTCTCTGGCCTCAGGCCCATCCTCTGCCCTCAGCTTCCTCTACAGGGCAGGACCGCAGCTCACAGAGATCCCCATGCCATCTTCCTGAGCTTCCAGCAACTGCTCCGAGGAAAGGTGCGTTTCCTGCTGCATGCAGTAGGGCCCACCCTCTGTGCCGAGCAGGCCCTGCCCACCACAGCTGCCCCACACAGTGCCTCTCTCTTGCTCACACTGAACAAGCTTCCAAACAGGACTTCTGGATTGTCGGAGGCAAACTCCAGTGTCTCAGCCAAAACTACTGGCTCTGGACTTCCGAAGAGGCTGCAGGGATTCAGAGCCAAGGTTCCTGGTCTGCTGAACCAAACCTCCAGGTCCCTAGACCAAATCCTGGGACACCTGAACGGGGCACATGGACCTTTGAATGGAACTGGTGGACTCTTTCCAGGACCCTCACCCAGGGCCCTAGAAACTCTGAACATTCCTCTGGGAGCTTTGGACACAAACTCCCTGCCACCCGACCCCCAGCCTGGATATTCTCCTTCCCTAACCCACCCTCCCCATGGACAACAAACAGTCTTCTCCCCTTCACCCACTTTGCCCACCCCCATGGTCAAGCTCCAAATCCCTCTTCCCGGCCCCTCTGCTGTCCTGCCGAACCCCACCAGTCCGCTTCTCATTGCAGTGCAGCCTCACTCCCAGGATCTGTCTCAGGAACAGTAAGGTTCTCAGGCACTGCAGGCAGCAGCACTGTCCCCTCCCCTGTGTAACTCTCTCGCCCGGAGGAGGGCCCTGGGAGACAACCGAAGCCCTGCCAGAATTCCTGCTTTCCCCTGAAACGCCCAGCCCTGGTAAAGGTGAATACGCCGGGCGGAAACTGGGGTCTTTTTCACTGTTTGAAACACCAGAAGCCATTTTTTTAAGCTATCAATAATACTCAGCAGAGCAGCTAGTTATCTTTGGTCTATTTTCTACACAAATGTCGAAATTACGAATTCTCCATGTTTTTTCATACAATAATTCCTCAAAGGCCTGAACTGGCCTGGCCCCTGAACAGAGGTAGAGACTAATCTTATATCAGAAAAACAGAAAAACGAACTTTGGTTTTCTAGTCAAAACTAAGGTTAGTCTCTTTACCCCCTTTTACCATCATTCTCAATAGGACTCTGATTTCCTTTTCTTAGGAGATTCTTACTCTTGAGAAATGAATGAGAAGTTGTCTTCCAGAAAGACTGTCTCTACATAATAGATAAAACTGAGTCTGGACAAATAAAGAATGAATGAGAGTACCCAAAAGCTAACTGAAAAGAAAGAGCACGATGTTCATCTCTGGGGGCAATAGTTCTGTGCTTCCCTAAAAAAGGGGAAAAAAAAAAAAAGCTAACAGGAAGTCTAGGAGTGCCTCACACCTCAGGTAAGCCTGTGCAGACAGTTCAGTCAAGAGGAGACCTGCCTGTGACAGCTGAGCAAACAGCCAGAGCTTCAGCCGCTCAGTGGGAAGCTTCGCCAGGCCTGGGTTCCTGCCTCCCTCCTGTGGAGGTCAGGGGGAAGTGCAGGAAGTGCCGTGAGTCAGTCTCCTGGGGCTCACACAGCAGGAGAGACAAGGACAACTCAAGTACAAGTTGAAGGCTCATTTCCCAGTTCCCAGAAGTGAATGGTATCTAAAAAGCAACCTTGTGTGCCCGCTGTAAATTCTGGGAGGAAATACCTAGAAAAGAAGCCAGGGCGATGGGGCTTTGCCAATAAATGCCATCTTGGTGCTTAGGAAGTTTATATGGCCCAAAACAAAAACTCCACTGCAAAGGTCACCACCACATCCAGAGGCTCCTGTAGGGAACACTAATGGGAGTTGTACCCTTCCCTCCCTACCAAAAGGAGAGGAAAGGCTACCATGTAAATGTAGGCAGAGGAGCCAGGAAGCCAGAGTTCCAGACACCGCCACAAATACCACAGGTTCACTGGAGACATTCTAAAACAGAACGAAAGTCAGTGTGCCAGGAACCGTAAGTATATTCCGTTTTCTAAGGCTTACATGACTCTTTAAGGCAGTTAGTATCATCTGTGTTTTATAGATGAGAAAACCAACCGAGACTCTGAGAAGCCAGGCAAGTTCCCAAAGTTTTCACAGCCTATGAGCAGGAAAGGAAGGAACACTCAAGGCTGACAGTCTGGAGCCCACACTGTCCCCAGTGTAGTGCATTGTCCCATATATTATTCGGTGACTTAAAAGTATTGTCCAGGTCTCAGATGGTGTCAGTTTCTTCGTGGGAAAGAATCAGTTCATCCACACTACAAATTCCAGGAGGTGGTCCAGGGATTTGCTAAGTGCAAATTTTAATTTACTGCAGTACTTAGATGAAATCTAATAATCAAATGAAACCCATTATGATACAGGAAATAGGCAGTACCCAGGACCATATATGCCAAAGGGACCAAAGACAAAGAATTAGGGGTTCTCAACACAGTCGGATGAGACAAAGGTAGCAAAACCACAAAAGGCATGTCGGCAAAATTTCAGGCTTCCAGTATCGGCGTTTGACTTACTCCAGGGCAAATGCAAATAACTGATGGGCTTCTCCGGTGTGAATTAATCTGCACCTATGGAAGATCTACCCTATTCCCAAATTATTCTCTCTTCTTCCTTTTACACACATGCACAAACACACACACTGTTACAACCAGAGCACTCCTATCTCTATTTGCCTGTATGCTAGTTCTTTCTTTTGCCATCCCAGAGCAGCTAGAAGTCCGCTCTGCCACCCACAAACTGCTACTGGTAATTAATTAGGTTCTCCCAGTTAAACTAACTTCATCCTTCTCCATCCACACCTGCCCCCCAAAATTTGACTCCACAAAAAAGTTCTAGGATTCCATAAAAATTCACCCCAACCCCCATTACATTTCCAATATCCCTCTCCACCCTCCCTGCCCCATACTAGGGCAAAAGAAACACCTTTACCAGCCCCCTGCAGGGACCATTCATTTTCAACCCATTTCCCTAAATACTCTAACACCTCATGAAGGACCTGAAAATGATGGGGAAGGAGATACCCCAGGCATCCCACCAGGGAACCAGCTCCCCTGGCAAACCAAGAGATCAAAAGAGACTACTGTTTAATACACACAATCTTTCTGGATAGTTACCCTGAATTTCCCAGGGGACATCAGAGTCACAGGTACTTTCTCAGAGACATTGAACGCCAGGCTGAAGAACCAGCTCCTGTGCTGGAGTCCTTGTAAGCATCACCATTTCCCCAACAGAGTCCTTCCCCCACTCTCAAGTTAGTGACCATGGTCAGGCTGCTGCATTGTCCCGGGCACTGGCACTGGACTGCCAACCTCATTGATATTAGTGCCCCGTCCACTTCACTGGTCTGTGCAGCGGCTCTCTGTCCAGTGTCACTGGTAAGAAACACCACTTACCCTCCCTCCAGGTCACCACTAGAATACAGAGCAGTCAGCTTGCTCCTCCGCCTGCTCCCGTAACCACCAAATGCACTCTTCCTATTCTCTTCATAGTCGTGCCCCATGCTTATGTCTAAATGCCTCTACCCAAAGCTTCCATAAAAATGATGAACATTTCCCGGCTATGCAAGTGACTCATTCAAGTCAACATCCTCTGACTTCTCAAGACTTAAAGAGTTGGAAGGGCACCAGCAGGGCTCCTCACCAACTCAAAACTCTAAGCCAAACAGGTGTTATCTTCTGGGCATGGGGTGGCCCTGGGAGCAAAAAGCATGACACTTTCTCTCACACAAAAAAATCACATTGCAGGATACATGTTGGGGAGAGTCCACCAGGAGCCTGAGAAATCCTGAACCCAGATACCAAAAGGCTGGGACAGATTTGTAACCTCCCATGTGATCATCAGGCTATGGGCCACAGATGTAACGTACCACAGGCAAACTGAGGGAAAAAATGATTTTAAAGTAAATGGGAAAAAAATCTCTAAGAGAAGAAAATGTCTGAAAAAAGTAAAGTTTAATTTAAAAAAATCATATACACAAAACAACTTCTGACTCATTTGAAATTCTGCCATAGGCAAGTCAGTTTTCCACTGAGTCCAGACCCCTGACAGATGCACCCGCATCTTTGGGTGGACAGAGAGCTGGCTCCTCCTGAGCAGGTGAACAACAGCAACTGCTGCTCAGGCTCGAACAAATGTCCACGACCCGAGTGACCAAGAAGCAAGTTTGGCTTCCCAGGTGGTTCAGAAGGCCAGTTTCTTCATCAGCAGATAAACTCTGGAATCCACTTCAAATCCGTGCAAGTTGTTGGCATCACCCTGCAGCCGCATGAGCAGGCCCCCATAGGACACATAGGCAGAGCTGAAACAGAAGGACCAGTCCCGTGAGTCTAAGCTTCGCAGCAGCTGTCACTCAGCAGCTCTCTAGCCCAGCCTAAGAAAACAAGGCACCTTCCTAATGCTTTGTCATTAGGAACCAAAATTCAAACAAAGATGAATGCACAGACATGTGCAAGGCATGTGCAAGGCACGTCCTTTATATCAGCAAAGGCAGGAAATACTACATGCCCAAAACAAAGGAAATGGTCAAATCAATTAAGATATACCCATTTACCTATGAAAATGCTTAGAAAAGCTCTCAACTGACATGAGGAAACATGTTCTATATAACATTAGTAAGCAAAAAGAGAAGAAAACTTTGTAATAAACAACATGATCTCAAAGCAAAAAGCACACAGGAAAAAAACCTAAATTATTCAAAAATGTTTATGTAAAAGGTTCTCTCTGGGTATGGGATTATAGGTGACTTTTTTCCTTCTTGACATTACTTCTCTGCTTTTCATATTTCCTACACAGGGCACATATTGTTTTAATAAGATTTTAAAGAAAAGAAAAAATAACTGGGAAGGGAAACCAAAGAACTAGGGATTGGGTTGCAGAGTAGGAACATACACACACACGCCTAGCGGTTTAATTATTTAATGCTGCACTTATTTCCTGTGGAAGCAACCTTCTTTTGCACTGCACTCAGCAAGACTGTCAGTTTCTCTTCTGGGCCACCAGAGCCAAGGCCCTGACAAAGGGCAGAGAGAGCAGCCTACATTTCAGACTGAAACTGTCCCCACAAGTTTCTTTCTGGGTCCCACTTAAGTTGGAGGTGCTTGAGGAGAGGGACCCAACACAGGAAGCAGAAGCATGGTCCAAATTCTCAGAACAGGGTGGGATGAAAGGGTTCTCCCAACGAACTTACAGACGTGTTGCTGCTTCAGTAGAAGTCTCGTCTCCCTCGATCCTGTACACTTTCCCATACATTACATACTCAAATTGGTCAGCCCTATAGAACAATAGCAGCAATTATTCTTAAAAATAGTTAACTATAGTAAGAGGTTCTTTAAAAGTGGTAACTGCTGCCCTGGCTGGTATAGCTCAGTGGATTGAGTGCAGGCTTGCAAACCAAAGGATTGCGGTTGGATTCCCAATCAGGGCACATGCCTGGGTTGCAGGCCAGTTCCCAGTAGGGGGCGCACGAGAGGCAACCCCTACTATATCAATACATTGATATTTCTCTCCCTCTCTCCTTCCTTTCTCCTCTAAAAAAGATAAATAAATAAAATCTTTTTTAAAAAAGTGGTAACTGCTAGTTAAATGCTAGCATTATAATAGGCCTTTTTTTTCAAATTTTAGTTAATTGATTTGCAGGGGGTGTGGAGAGAAACATCAATTTGTTGTGCCACTTATTAATCATTCATTGGTTGGTTCTTGTATGGGCCCTGACCAGGGATCAAATACACAATTTTGGAGTATCATTATGATGCTGTAACCAACTGGGCTACCCAGCCAGGGCACAACAGGCACTTTCCAAATACAATGTCTTTTAGTGCTCACCATAAACCTGTGAGCTAGGTATGAACATCAGTCTTCTACTGACGAGGAAACGAGGCTGAAAGAGGTTGAGGTTATTCAACAAATGACTGGTAGGCTGGGATCTGAATTCAGTGGGGCTCCAAACTCCCATCACACCAAACTCCCCAACAGGATCCAAGGCCCACACAGCTTAGGATACCCAGTGATCATTTCCTCAGTCATCAGACAACTAAAACTCACGAGCATACCATCACTGCTCTGGATAAACACCCGGTTGTTTAAATTCTTACTGCAGCAAATTCCTTAAAATTCTTCCGATTATAAACATTTATTCCATGAATTAAATAAGAGTTTTTCTATACTGTTTATCTACCTAGTCCTCAAGCGTAGTTCAAAGTATTCCCTTCTCCACTCGCTCACCTGGAAGGTCTATCATCTGTGGGGTTGTATTCACCATCATCCAGGGTACCATCTTCATACAAGGTACTAGCTATGACCAACCGGAACTTGTCACCTGAAAGTAACAGCAATATCTGAGGGTGAAGAAGAGCTGAAATGGCAAAAAGTCTCCTGCTATTGCTTGTGTTCAATACTCACCCAAGTCTACAGGGTAAATCTGAATGTTTACATCTAAGATAAGGTCCATCTTGAAAGATTCGCTCTCACAATGCAGTCGAGACACTGGAGAGGTAGAGAGGCAAGGTTAATTGCCTGACCCAGACCTACCCTTGCAGACCCTACTCTGGGGACCGTATGCAACTGAAGAGTCAATGCGACCCAGTCAGTATCCACTGGCCTCTCATCTGCCCTCACAGATGTACAGGCTCAATCAGAACTAGATATGCAAGAACAAAAGGGGAGAAAGACGATGTTTAGTGGACACAATCCCCACAAAAAAATCGAAAGTCCTATGGCAACAAATAATATCCAGATTCTAGGCCTGCCTAGGTGATTAAGAAAAAACCTGACTTTGGGCAAGTTAT